TATTGCTTTGATTTGTACAAAATTACATTTTTAAATAATGCAGTTCAAAATTAAACATTACGAAAACATGATTAAATTATTTAAAAATGTATTGCTACTATATGCGTGCTACTGGATATTACAATAGAAATGCATTATATTGTTTGTTTATAATTAAGGCCATATATTTGGTTTTATATAACTATAAAAATACTTTTTATATAATTGAATCTCATTTATCGACGTTAATCACCATTATTATTATAATTAAATATATTAGTAATTTTAAATTTTAGCGTAATTAGTTATATTTATTGTACAAATGATTTTAGATCTGATATAACTGAATAATGAAGTTTAATTTAATTTAATTTATTTTATTTTATTTTAAATAAGTCTGCAAATATTTTTAGACAGTTGATTTTTTTTGTCTATATAAACCGTATTCTTGAATTTATTCTATTTTTTGTTTCTCTATAAAATACTTTAACAGGGTTAATTAAAATTATTAAATATTTTTTTTTAAAGAGGCAAATTACTTTAATTAAAAAATATTAAATAAAACGATTTAATAATTATAAAAATTTACATATTATCTAATATGTAGTAATATATAATGCTTGCCATTGTGACATTATAAATAATGAAAAGATTTAATACTTAAACTGTTTATTGATATTTCATTTATTTTTAATGTGGACTCAAAAAAATATTTTTAACTATGATTTTTTCAAACAAATAATACTATTTTATTATTTGTAATGCTTTCCTAAAACGTAAATTATATGAATAATGATTTGAAATCTAAATTTAATTTACTAAACGAATTTAATGTAACTTCATAAATAAATACATGCGCGTTTGCGTCAATGCATAAATTGTGTTATTTATTATTTTCACGCATTTAGAAAAGACAAGGGCAAGTTGTCATCATTAAATCTCTTAAAGAAAATATTCATCATGAAATTTTGTTAGATATACTTCNTCTCTTAAAGAAAATATTCATCATGAAATTTTGTTAGATATACTTCTTGATATATATGACCAATTGGTAAAATTCTCAATATTGAAAACTGACTATTAATTAAATTAAAAATGTCAATTTATAATATTTTTTTAACGGAAATGATAAAATTCTATTAGTTTACTATAGGTATTGCTAATAAAATACTAAATATGTATTATCTAATTAAAAGTAGGTCATCTATTACTAAACTTAAGAAAACATTGAGTATATTATAAAAATTTATCATTGTTATCATAAAAAATTCTAATTCAATTATTCTCAATAAATGTTAAAAACATTATTATTATTTTTTTAATTGAAATAGGTCATTATCCTTTAAATTGCGCTTCATTTTCTCTGATTAAAATATAAATTTATATATTTATAAATGACGAACTGATATAATTCATATAATATACAAATATTTTTATATATAAAATGTTAAAATTCATAAAATTACTGTTTTAAAATACATATTTAAAATTTTATACTTTTTTATGATTTAAGAATTTTTATTGTAATAGTTTACTACCAAAATATTTCAAAAATTTAAATTAGATTGGTATAAATTTAAAACAGTTATGTCAAATTAAACTGTTCAAAATATATAAATAAGTAAAATAGTATTATATTTATAAAATTACTATGATAAAAATATATTAAATAAAATGATTTAATAATTATAAAAAATAACATATTATTTAATTAATATGCTAGCCATTGTGACATTATAAATAAGGAAAAAAGTTAATACTTAAATTGCTTTTTAATATTTAATGTATTTTTAATATGGAATCGTTCTAAAAAATATTTTTGACAAAGGTTTTTTAAAACAATTAAAATTATTACTTGTAAAGCTTTCCTAAAATATAAATTATATGAATAATAGTTTGAAATCTAAATTTACTATACTAAACGAATTTAATTTAAATTCTTGAGTAAATACATGTGCGTTTGCGTCAATGCATAAATTGTGTTATTTATTATTTACACGTCTTTAAAGAAGTGTAGGGTAAGTTGAAAACCTGAAGCTGTTTTTAAACATTTTTCTGGAAATTAATATTAAAAAAAAATATTTAAATTTTTAATTAATTATGACAATTAGAAATGTGACATTATTTATCCTAATTAGATATCTCATCCTGTATTAATAATAAGTACACTTTTAGAATGATATTGAATTACATTACAATAATTTTTCACTCATTTATTTTTAAAAGGTACAATTATTATAATAAATAAAATTAACAACAGTTATATACTTTCAATGTTAATAATATTAAATTGTGGTTGGGAAANAATGTTAATAATAAGTAAATTGTGGTTGGGAATAATCCCCTTTAACTCCCTATTGGCTACACCATTAAAATTATTCATAAAAAGTTACATGATTCTCTAATTTAGAAACTTAATTGAAAACTTACTTAGTAACCTGTTTAGGAAATTTGTATGGATATTTTTTTTAATATTATCAATAATAAAGTTTTGAAAATTATTTAAATGAAATCATATGTTTATTTTTAATAGTAGTTATAACATTACCGCAGGAACGATATATTATTGTTTTTATGGCTTTGTAAATTTAGTAGAATTAAAATTATATTCAAAAATACATAAATATATAAAATTTTATGTTTTTTCAATAGTTAAAGAAATAGATTATAATATATATAAATATATAAATTAAGATAGTACGCAAGTTGAAATTTTTATTCGATGATATGACAAATTTAAGAACTATTTTATAATAACTATTTGGTTAAACAATTTTTTATTTTAACAAATATTACCACTTGTTGTTATATTTAAAACATAATTTCCTAAAATTTTGTGAACAAACCTGAATGATTCATGCGATCGATTTCTTCCCTTTTTGTATTATTCTCCATTCCAATATAATTTAAATTTTCAATATACCAAATAAAAATGACATCCAAAATTTCTTTATTTAAATATATTATTTTATTATATTAATAAAATTATTATTTAAATTTTATAATCTTATATTATGTAATTATATTTTAAATAAAACAAGTAATACATATATTTATTTTTAAAGGATACATGTTATTTTTTTAAAGTCATTTTTAAAACTCTTTCTTTTTCCTTAATACGATTATTGATGGGCAAATTACATTCCCCTAAAAATTTAATTATAATTTTATATTACTTATATCCTTGAATAGTGAAATAGCTACTCCTGTAAACTATTCTACTAGGAAAGAAACTAATTTTAAAAATAAAAAAAAAATAAAATATGTGTAAAATTGAAAAAACAGTAAATAAATCTATTAATGTTATTTCTTTAATTAA